TAAATGGAACACTAGGGAGAGAGAGAAAGAGACAAAAATGAAAGCATTAAAGCCAGACAAGTGATAATTGGGAGAAAGAAACACCAAAATGGAGATTGAGATAAAAGACAGATGGTAAAAAAATGCGATTGAAAAATAAGCTCATAAATGTACCTTTTGTGTTTCTTTGGGTCTGAGTGTGAATGAGAGAGGGATAGAACCAGAATAGTAAAGACGGGAAAATAGGGGAGAAGAGAAAGGAACAGACCAAAATAGAGATATAAACACGGACAGAGAAAAGGAGGAGAGAAGGAAACAAGGCAAACGGAGGTAAAGATAGAAAAACAGCAAAGGGGAGAAAGAAATAATGACACACAGTTATTAGAGGATAGAAAAAAACAAAGCAAAATAGAGATGAGAGATAAAGACAGAGAAATGGGGGGAGGATTCAAAGGAACAGACCAAAATAAAGGAGAAAAAAGAGACTAAAATGAAAGAAATAAAAACAGAAATAAGGATGATTGGGAGAAAGAAACATACCAAAATGGAGATTGAGAAAGGGGGGATGAGAAGGAAAGGGGGAGAAAGAGAGAAAATCTAGACCATGTGTCGGCAACATTTTGAACATATTGTGCCAGTTTATGATTAATGCCTTCTTATCAATAATATTGCGTGCCAGTATTTTTTCACCACTATACCCAAGTGTATTTTCCTGCACATGCATAACATAAATGTAAAAATTTTGTAGCATTTAGTATTCTTTGTATAAAAAAAGTATATATCGTTTATAATTTTAGATTTATACCCATCTTATTAATATTAATATTAATAAATCTCTCTCTCTCTCTCTCTCTCTCTCTCTCTCTCTCTCTCTCTCTCTCTCTCTCTCTCTCTCTCTCTCTCTCTCTCTCTCTCTCTCTCTCTCTCTCTCTCTCTCTCTCTCTCATAATATTTTGCTGTTTAACTTTTTTCCCTCTAAGCTTCGCCCATTTCTGTGACGTAATGGGAATGGCCGCGGTTGACGGCTTGCTATTTTACCGTACTGGTTATTTTTCCGACAGGTACACAGTATTTTGGAATATGATATCCAAGATGGCTATTGATATCTTATGGTGGGTAGTGCGGTGTTATAGATATCCAATATAAGTACGAATATGTATGAAATATCCGAAGTAGAAGGAATGCATCTGGCAACTCAATAAATGTTTACCGCCTGCTCGATTCTTGCCGCGTGAAAGGTGTCTCGTTTCCCGTAACCGCTGGAATGAGCATCCTATATCTTAAAGATTTAAACGTGTAATTTTACTTACCCGAAGATAACACAATAGTGAAAAAATTACTAGCAACGTTAATTTCGTTACAAAAGCTTTAGATATGATTTCTCTTTTCGTTTCTCTTTTGATGTCTGATTCGATGGAATCAGATATCTAAAATCAGTCGAGCTTAGATCTAATACTGAATATTCAATATAGTAATATCAAATAAATCATTGAACAGCCTGTAGCTCCGTAGAAGGCAACACCGCAATTTATAGGAAAAGAAATACCATCTCTAAACCGAAGCCGGTTTACGCCAGTTCGAACACGGCAGAGCGGCTTAAAAATTGAATTTTGAAAGAGCAGAAAAACAGCTGATCGCACGTATCACGTAGAGATCACTTCTTTCTGTGCATTGATATTTCCAAACACGAGTTGCAATCCATAGCATCTCATTTTTTTACATTTGTATTTAGTTATAGAGATTATATGTTAACGTTTGTGTCGAATAATGTTGGGATATTTATATTTTGTAAAGGAAAATTGTGTTTTCAAGATTATCATCATTAACACTGATTATTATTGGTAATCATATTAATATAAACATATATATATATATATATATATATATATATATAATATATATATATATATATATATATATATATATATATATATATATATATATATATATATATATGCAATATATATATATATATATATTATATATATATATATATATATATATATAATATATATAATATATATATGTACATATATACACAAATATATGCAAAAATATATGTATATATGTATATATGCATATGTATGTATGTATATGCTTATATTATATATACAAACACCCATATTTAACAGATGTCTATTTACCTATTAATTTATCTATGAGCATAAATATATATACACATGGTTGTATATTACATAAAATGGTACATATATATAGATAGATGTCTATTCAGATAAATATATAGCTGTTTAGGTACATCAGCTGTTAAGAGGCTAACGGCTAGGAGACAGAAGGACAACTGAAATAAAAGTTCCTTGAAAAAGGTGAACTGCGACCAACTTGTTCCTGGAGATGATTCATTGTATACACATTACCATATCAAAGTTGGAATTATTGTTGCGAATTTTTTACGAGAAACAAGCGTCAGGTTAGATACTCGGTGCATCACGAGCCGTAGGAAGGGGGAAACGAGCGCTCATATAACCCGTAAACACAATGAGAAGATATTTCAGGATTTGCTCTTATCCAGTGAAACAAAAACACGATATATAGTTTCATCTGCGTGTATATGATGACGTCACACGTTCTACCATATCCCTGTACAGTTAGAGTTCTTTGTGGCCACGGAGGAAGAGAGAGAGAAAAAAAAAATTACAGACTTCCATGCTTGTTCCTCATATTTCTGCCTGCATTCTTCTTATAGTCATCATAGTTATCTTTATCAGTATAACCAATGTTGCGTATATTATGTCCATTATGCTTAATTAGATTATTTTCGTAAACAGTAATCTTATAATCATATTTATTCATCTTTGCATATATCTACCTACCTATCTACCTATTCATCACTCTAATACCTAAATGATATATTACTTTCAATGTCAATCATTATTTATCTGTTAGATCAAGTCTCACTACTTTTGTCTTTTTATTTACTACCCTTTTTTATCATATTACATTGCAGCTGGATTTTATATGGATATCAGCCAACAACTAAGTAAATTTGTTCTTATAACAATAATGGGCTCGTTATCCATAGAATCACCGGGGGTAAGAATATAAGAAAATAGTAATGATTCAAAAGTTAATTGTGATAATGATAACAACAAAGATAATAACAGATAATGATGATCAGAATGACAATAATAATAATGGTAATGGTAATAATAACACTTATGATAACTGATAACAACGATAAGAACAAAACCGCAAATATAACAATAGTATTATTACTACTAAGAATTAAAAATAGTAATAATATTAATAACAATAACAATAACTAGATGATGCGATACAAATATTCACACTTGAAAAAAATATATTAACATCACCTGTTTCTCAAGTATACTGGTGACGTCTGTTTCCCTACCTCGCAATACCAATGAATCCTTAAAAATAAATAAATAAATAGATAAATAAAAAATTAAAAAAAATCAAAAAAAAATCATGGATTCGGATCATATTCCGGATCACTACCAAACTTTAATGGCATATAAGTTAGGTTAAGACTCCCCCCTGGTAAAACATTCATAAGAATCCGTTCTTAACCAAAAACATAGACCCTCTGGCGAAGGTAATAATAGTAGTAGTAATGGTAATAGTAATAAAAATATTAATGGTAATGATAATTATCACTATAACAATAATAAGGACATTAATAATGATAATAGTAATAATACTAATAATAATGATACTAATAAATATAATAAAAGCAACCTATCCCTATTACTTGATTTTCATTGATAGATTACGAAAGTATTAATCCGTTGAAATAAAACGGAAATCCTCGGTAAATAAACTTCCTCACTTCCGATGTACTCAGCGATGGGGAAGTCCTGAGTTGCCACATAGTCTTTTGAGAGTATATAAAGCGAGGAGACCGCAGACACGGAACAGTCATCTCTTGCACTCGTTGAAACAACATATCAGTCATGGTAATGCAATATGGTCGTCTTTCCTTTACTAATTTTGGTTAGACAACACCAGCATTGGCATCTATTTATTGTTATCTTTATTTGACATATTCCGATTACTTTCATTTACTATGATTATATAGCATTATATATATATATATATATATATATATATATATATATATATATATATATATAATTATCATATCCCGGTATTTTGCTAAACACCGAAGACAGACGTAACAGGTGAATCTTCCTTCAGGTTTGTCGCGTGGCGTTGGTGTGTGTGGTGGTGGTCGTCCTCGCGGCCGCAGCGCTGGCTCTCCCTGACCCCTCCAAACGCCACTTGGGATACGGCTTGTACGGAGGATTCCCAGGATACGGCCTCTCAGGATTCGGCTTTGGAGGCTACGGAGGCTACGGCTATGGATCCCACTATCCTTACTACGGATCCTACTACGGATAGGTAAGATGGACTCTTGATTCTCTTTTCAGTTCGTCTCAAAATATTGCACATGTATAAAGGTTGTTGTTGCATAGTATTTCAAGTAAAGGATTTCTAATAATGCATTATTTCTTTTACAGATCTCGAAAACCTATTCAAACACCAAAGACGTCTATCATCTGCTCAAGCGAAAGTATTTGTCAGGAAATTCAGCGTTCCTCAGAATCAGTATGAAGGGACAGAGTGGATTTTATCTATATTTTAGCAGCTTGTGATGCAGTGAATTTATTTCTAATAAAACTTTTCCTCATTTATCGTTTCTTCTCATTTACATTTTCGTAAGCAAGTCGAGGACATTCATATAAAAACTAATGCACGCAGATATGTATGTGTGTATGTATAACATATGTACGTGTATGTGTATGTATAATATGTATATAGCATATATGATGTGTACATATATAATATATGTATGATACATACATATACATATATATATAATATATACATATGTATACATGTAAATGCGTTTCTATACGTATCCTTATATGTACGGCTTTGTAATTGATGTCATTTTCACAACAATGATCAACAAAAGTGTCAAAGTCTCCTCTGAAAAATGCCTTGGAAATTGCCTCTGAAATGTTTACGAATCCTAACCGATGGAGACAAAGCCTCACCCACGCCCGCTGGCTTCGGCTTCCGCTTCGTCGCTTAGCGGCGGTGCCCTCAGTGGTATGAGTGGTGATAAGGCTTATCGTTATCGTCACTACTATCATCATTATCATTGTCATTATCACTACAATACTCTGTTATAGTTATAATCATGAATATTGCCAACATTATCAATATAATTTCCATTATTACCATCATCGTCATCATTATCATCAATAAAGACGTATCTGAGTCTTCCCACTGTTTCCATAGTTTCCCTTCCCCCTAACACACAACATCCGCTTCCTCTAAACATTATCCAAAATTTTATAATGAAGCCAGCAATTCCTACCCCCCGCCCCCCCACCCCGACCCCCCCCCCCCCTTTTGATGCATTCGGGGTCCGCTCTTGCACTTTTAACACTGTAATGTTAATGTGAATATAAAATGTTTTATGTGAACATTGGTAACTTTGATGATACAGTCTGAGCGTAAAAAAGGTATTTATAACTTATGGGTTTCCTTTTTTCGAAATTGAAATTGCTAGTTCATTGACGCGGGAGGAATAAGTTCTGTAATAGTTTTGATTATAATGTAAGTGAAGAAAATGAGATTTAATAGATTCAGAGAGTAAGGAAATTCTAAGGATATGAAAAGTCGGAAAAGATATCGAAAATAAAAGATAGGTTTTTTTAAATGTTTGCAAATATCGTAAATAGCTTGTCCGGAAATCATCGGTAAAGTCTAACTTGTTCCAAATTCCCGAAAATACTAGTCGAGGATGGGGAAGTCCTCAGTTGCCAGACAGTCATTTGAGAGTATATAAGGCAAGGCCAATGGAGCGACGGCAGAGTCTTCTCCTGCACTCGCATCTGCAACATCTCAACAATGGTATTAGCATATGATAGATTTACTATACTGTCTACGAAACTATGGCTATAGAACATTAGTGTATAGAGTATCATCTTTTTTTCTTCTTTCTTTTTTAATCATAGATTTAACATTTATCAAACTTATTGTACACAAATATAGTGGTGAATCTTCCCACAGTAATAAGGTGAATCTTCCTTCAGGTTTGTCGCGTGGCGTTGGTCGTGGTGGTGGTGGTCGTCCTCGCGGCCGCAGCGCTGGCTCTCCCTGACCCCTCCAAACGCCACTTGGGATACGGCTTGTACGGAGGATTCCCAGGATACGGCCTCTCAGGATTCGGCTTTGGAGGCTACGGAGGCTACGGCTATGGATCCCACTATCCTTACTACGGATCCTACTACGGATAGGTGAGGACTAGGACAAAAAAAAATCTGTATTTTTAAAGTTTATATTGTGAATTATCCTAATTTTCTCTTATAGAACTGCACAATACTAAAGCTTTATCATTTTCATATTCCTTTTGCAGATGAGGTGCATCAGGTGATAAATTATTTCTTAAGCTTTCCACTACGAAATCCAAAGATTTATGCCAATATATCTATGGCGCTAATAAAGAATTCATTCTACCTGTATTTTTCATTTAGATATGCAATCCTACAACTTAAGTATATGTATGTGTAACATATATGCATCATGCATTTATATAAAGAATGCATACATACGCACGAAAATACATATGTAGACATATATGAATGTATATCATATATTCATAAGAAAACATATACCTACGTATGAATAAATAAGAATGTATATATGCATTAGTATATAAAACAATTCTACATACACATATGTCAGGCACATAATCTATATATCATATACATATGAATACATATATATCCATTAATCTATGAAACTATATATCTATGCATATATACCTACATATATACATCATGAATATATACAAAATATATATACAGCAGGTACGGGATACTAAATATATGTATTATATATATTCATTAATATTTAATAAAGCTATATATATACATATGTAGATATAGATACATGTATATGCAGAAAGATATGTATATATGTTTGTGGGTATATATATATATATATATGTATATATATATATATATATATACATATCAAGATACATGTATGTGTGTGTGTATAATTATGCACAAACATGTATATATACTAGATACGTATATATATGCTTATATATACAGATTCACACATGTACACAGTGGCTGCCCTCTCCCTCCCCTTCCCCTCATTAGCAGAACAAAACAGTTTTACCCGATTAACTGAAATTTGCGAACACCTTAGTAAACATTGTAAATACTGCTGTGCTAATCTATGCATCAAAAGATGGCTAAGGATATGCAAATAAATTCCGGTAAACTTTATGTATATGTCTATGTGTACGTCTCTCCTTACTGAAACCATGAGAGCTTGGATCTCCAGCTGACTACTGGTTTCCTGTCCACAGCATTAATCAGCGTAAAAGCGGCACAGTTTGCTACAAAATGCTTGGAAATTACCGCTAGAATGGACCTCCCTGCCCCTCCCCCCCCTCATCCCGCGCCCACACGCCCACTGACTCATGGCTGCGCGTTTTTTTACGGGGGGGGGGTG